TGTGCCTTAAGGGCATTTTACTTTGCTTATTCGTTAAATTATGTAGCCGGCCGGAGTAGAACGCGGCTTTATTTCGGACTTGATTGATGTGCGTAGTGAAAGTCATACGCGAGTCGAAAGTGACTCCTAAATATTTGAACGTTTTCGACCAGGGGAGAGTTTGGCCATATAGTGATATTTGCCCCAACTTTCTGTACTGGCGAGGACCTTTGTAACGGTGTGGCGGATGGGGGTTGGGGGTGCTACGAGTGAAGTGAATCGCCACACTTTTTTCTGGATTAATATCGATTCTCCATTTACGGAACCAATCGCCGAGGCGGTCGGCAGCGCTTTGGAGTCGAGTCGTTTATTGACTGAGGTTGCGGTCTGAGTAAAAGAGCGCCGTGTCATCCGCGAAAAGCGCGAGATTGATGTGGGGGTCTCTAGGTATGTCGCTCGTATAGAGCGTAAATAGCAAGGGTAAGAGGCAGGAGCCTTGTGGTACGCCGGCTGTGAGGCGGCGGCTTGTGGAGAGGGTGCCCTCGACTCGATATCGAAAAGAGTGGTTCAACAAAAAGGCCCGGATGGTGTGTACGAGCCTATCTGGCACTTTGAGTGTGTACAGCTTGTAAAGCAAGCCGTTGTATCAGACTTTATCGAATGCTTTTGCGACATCGAAGAAGAGAGCACCTGTACTAATGTGTTTGGGGTGGTTAAGGCCTTTTAGGATGTGCTCCATTAGGCGGTATAACTGATCGGGACAAGAGTGTCTAGCTCGAAAGCCGAATTGTTCTGTCGGCAGAAGGCCGTTGGAAAATACGTGCTCTTTGAGCCTGTTTAACAATAGCCGCTCGTAGAGCTTCCCCAGGCAACTGAGGAGGCTGATGGGACGATAGCTAGAGGGCTGATTGGCTGGTTTATTCGGCTTGCGAATGCCGATAACCGTGGCTTGCTTCCAGTCGTCCGGAAAGGAGCAACTGAAGAGAAGGGTATTGAAAATGGTCGCCAGTAAACAGATAAGCGGCCCAGGGAGAGCTTTGAGAATCTTATTACTTATATTATCTGGGCCCGGGGCGGATTTTGGTTTTAAATTTTTAATAATATCTTGGACCTCTTCGGGGGTCACTGAATTTAAAGGTTCGCCTTCCGGTGGAAGCGCAGCCCTAGTCTCGATTACGCGGTCCACCTCCGTTAGGTGGACTGAATCGGTGTGTTCGCGCGATGGCGTACATTGCTGCTCTAGGTTGTCCGCAAGGCATTCAGCTTTTTCGGAGTCATCTAGGGCTACTGAAGCGCTATTAGGTCTAACTAACGGCGGTAGAGATTCGCGGGGGTCCGCTTTCAGACTGCGGGCCAACCGCCAGTAGGCGGTGTGCGATGGCTCGATGGCCTCTAGGAGAGTGTCCCACGTTGTGTGTCGGTGTTCCGATACTCGATCTTTGACTTCTAGCTGAAGGCGTCGAAGTAGGGTTCGGTTCGATTCCGATCGGTATCGGTCGAAGGCGCGTTTGGCTGCATTTTTCTGTCTAATTAGCAGTCGTAGGTCTGGCGGAAAGTTAAACCGTCGGTCGCCCGACAGTTTCACCGTCCGTTCCGAGTCTGTGACTGCGGAAGTAATAGTTTCGCGGAGACTCACTATCGCTCGATTTGCGTCATCGAACGTAGCTATCGTCTCGGGTCGACCTCAAGACGATGCCAGTCCACTACGGATTTGGTCGAAGGGACCGCGCCGGCGTTCTGGCCCAGTTTACAGAGGACGGGCCTGTGGTCTGAGTCTAGTTCATGGATTGTCTCTATCGACTCGATGTCGAGCGAGACCTCCCTGAATAACATTATGTCTAGGACACTCGGTGACGCGTGCTGGTAGTTGTCCACCGTAGGATACCTAGTGGGAGTCGCGGGAGCGACTATACTAAAATTTAGGTTATCGGATAAGCTAAAGAGGTGCTTTCCGTTGTTATTTGGGATGCTGTTGGTGTCCCATGAGCCGTGTTTGCAGTTTAGATCTCCTGCAATTATCACGGAAGGGCCTAAGTTAAGAAGCGTATCTAGGTCGCTTTGAAGTAGGGTTCTATTCCCCGAGAGGTAGGCTGAGACTAGTACAAGCGGCCTGTGGCCGGTGAGCGCTAATCTACACGCGGATGCCTCTATTTGACTTAGCTCTGGAATGTCGAGCGGGCAACAGTGCAAGGACCGTTTATAATAAATTAGAGTGCCTCCCAGTCGGTTTGCTAACCGGTCGTGGCAGACAATATTGTAATTTGCGATTCTGGGATCGCGTACACTAGGTTTCAAGAATGTCTCTTGCACTAGGAAAATATATACGTTATAATCGCGAAGGAATTCCGCGATTTCATCCCTTTGACCCTTTATGCCGTTTGCGTTGAAATACGAAACAACCAGAGCCCGAGGTTTTGTTCTACCTGCGGTTGTACTTCCCATTAAGGTGTTTTTATGGGTCTAATTAACGACGCGGCGGAGCGCGGTTTTATTGCGCGGACTATTGTTTTTTACGGTTGGCTCGTAAAAGCCCAAAGGGCTTCCACAAGCGTTTTGTGTTGGCTAATTGCCCTAAGACGCTCGTGGCCAGATGTGGCGGCCGCTATTTTAGCGGACAATACGGCGAGTTCCTGCCTATTGATTCTATCTAGTAAGCTGCAAATATTAGCGATTTGCGCGAATGGGTCGTCCTTGTTTTCCGCGAAAACTGACGGAGTTGGCTGCACCTGCGGCCGCGGCGCCGTTTGAGAGGCGGGCAGCTGTTGTGCGATCGGTCGTGAGGTGACCGGGATTACCGGCGCGGTTACCTGCGCGGCCACCTGGGGTTTCGCCCAGGCGTTTTTGACGGGTACGGGCGCGGGAATGAATTTAACGGGCGCGGGTTTGGGCAACGTGGATTTCGCGGGAGATTTCCTCGCGGGAGTTTTCGGGGCCTTAGCGCAGCCTCTGTAGCTAGCCGGGTGGCCGGTGGCGTTACAGTTTACGCAATCCGGTGGATCTGCGCAATCTTTTGGCCTCGTGCACTCGGTTGTGCCATGGTCACCGGTGCATTTGACGCACCTTGGGTGAGCGAAGCAGTTATTGGCCGTGTGGCCAAAATGCTGACAGTTGTGGCACTGTGCCACAACACCTGACTTACGCGGGGGCTCGATGACTAAGTCACTGAGCCCACAGACCCTCTTCAGGTTGAAGATGGCCTTACCTTCCGGGGTAGGGTCAAGTTCAACCATAACCATGTCCATAGGGACACGGGTGCGAGGGTGTCTGAGCCGACGTACGGCGTGCACAGGGTATCCCTGCGTGCGGATGTCGACCTTGGCCCTATCGACATCCGACTCTTTCGGGACGCCCTTAATTACAACCCGAAGTTTACGCTCCTCGGATATTGAGTAGGTGTGGAAACTACTTTAGCTTCGCGCAAGTACTTAGTTACGCGGCGGAAATCGTCCGTAGAATCGAGGTATACGCGGATACCCATGTGTATTCTTGGACCGGGGGTCTCGTATGTTATGGCGTTCGAACCATGAACATATCTGATGCCACTTTGCCTTCTCTTGAATTATAATTGGCGGCCGTGGCTTGATTTTTCGCTCGGAGGCGAATGTCGGTTCCGACTGGGCAGTCGCGGCTGCCTTTTTTGGCGGGCGTCGCGGTGGGACGGTTTGACGGGGCGGCCTCGCTTTCGAGGTCGCTGTCGGTAGCGGGGCGTTTCTTGCCCTTTTTGCGCGATTTGACGACGGTGAAGCCGTCGGCGTTCGCGTTGTTAGCGGGGGTCGTTTCGACCTCCATGTCTGAGCCGCCGTCCGATTGTGAGTCGGGAACGACAGCGCGGAAGGGGGCTGAAATTGATTGCGCGGAAGGCGCGTTAGGATCGATCGCGGCGGCGGAGGTCGACGCGACGGGCGTTTCGATTGTCGCAGAGGGCGACACAATAACTGGTGCAGAGGGCACCGGAGATGGTGGCGAGGCGGCAGCCGGTGAAGCCGAACTGTCGCTAGAGAATTCGACGACAAGGCGCCGTTCCCTCGCGAAGCTTAAATATTTTGCCCATACTTCGGGGCATTCCTGCCGAAGGAACTCCTCTAAGACGTGTCGACTAACCCATGTCGACGCTTGAGCCTTTGGGGCTTGCGCCCCGCCGGCGTGTGGTTTACTAAATAGGCCTCCCCATCTTGCAGCAGGGAGGTGTGTGCCTAAAATTAACCTTTAATCGCCTGCGCTTTAGGTAATAGGTGCGCTAGGGTGAGTACCTAGCTGTCGCCTAATGCAACAAGCACACAGGTAAAAATTACAATGCCGCCTCTGAGACGAGAAATGTGTGTAGAATTCTACTTACGGACAGGAACCTGCCTACGAGCACAACACTAAACTAACACTATCCGCTCGGAAGTCGGGCAAAGTTTCTTCGTTCTTCTATAATGTTTCTTCTTTCTTCTATAACTTTTCTTCACTCTTCTTGCTTGAGACTTCCCTAACCGTAGACCGCGAAACACGACAACGATGAGGCGAACAATGCACACCAAGAGATAAAAGAAATAAAATTAGCAACAACGGTTGCAAGATGGCTTCCGGGTCGGTTGGCATGGGCCCTCCGGCTCAGAGTAACGTCCGTTCCGTGTGGAAGCACGAAGCGGAATTCGGTTATTCATTACGTGTCCCCTGTACTCGACAGTACTATAGTTCTGCATTTCGCCACCAACTTGAGCCCCACTATTCTAAAAGGTGACAACGTATCTGTACCCCACGGGTGTTATAAATGTCCCTGGGCGGTAGTTGCCACTTGAAATCAGGTGAAGTATCAGCCATCAGCTAGCTTTCCTCCTTCTCAAATAAAAAAAAGATGCCTTCGCCACCGTTCGTGTTTTCATCCGATCACTATGTAATCTAAAAGATCGTGTGAATTATTGCGAGTTATCCGAACTGCTTAAGTGTGAGTTTATCACATATCTTCGGCTACAAACCTAACCGTGAGATGAGATAGAGGGCAAATACTAGGCTGTATTAAAATTTACGACACTCACCAGCTTTGCAAGGGTCCATGCTGAGATCGTCAGAACGCTTGTGCTCGTACTGCGTGGACAGGAGTTCGTCTATCGTGAACGAATGCGGTTCCTCCCTCCCCTTTACCAAGGTGGCTTTGAGGGTCACACATATCACGACGGTCAGTGCCACTCTTACCACCGACGAGGCAACACGTACGCGACACAACGTCATTTCGGATTTCAATTTCACTGTTTGTGAGCACTATGACATATTTCGTAGTGTGTCAGCCGGACGGTCTGTAACAAAGATATCCTTAAATTATTAAATATAGAAGATGAAAAAACCATTATTATTATTTTAATATTTATTGCATAACCTCTGAAGAACACAAAAGGCGAACTTAAAACATTCTCAACCAGTCAAACTGTGGTGAGATCTTTACGTATTTAAAATTATAAATCCTCGAAATTTTGAGTTATATTTACACAATGTATTATATTACACACTAGCTGTGCCCGCGACTTCTTCCGCGTGGAATTAAAAAAAATATCTAAAATAAAAGTAGCCTAAGTTACTCCTTATTACATCAGCTATCAGCCAGTGAAAGTTCTATCTAAATCAGTCCAGCCTTTTCAGAGATTAGCCGAAACAGACAGACAGACAAAAATTGTGAAAATGTTATTTTGGTATATAGACCGAGTATACATCCATATCCATTTAGTAAAAAGGGGTTATTTTAATATTACAAACAGACACTATTTCTATTCTATTAGATGACGATTCATGGCTACAGGCTAAGCTAGGAAACACCATCATTAATACTATTTAAATAATAACGAAGTTTTACAAAATAAACAAATTAGTTTAACTAATCCTCGAATAAATTAGACGAGACGGGCCGGGGTAGTCTCTTAACAAATTCCTAGGTCCTAAACGTTTGACAAATTGGACTATTAGTCAGGCCGGCTCAACTGGCCCCTCCACATTCCTAATATTTGGAAGCCGGACGCGGCGTAGCGGTTTAAAAGCTCGCTTCTTAAGACGTTAATGTACGTTCACTAACTTCCCCGCTTTGCTAATGTATGAACGTTCTTAGTTTAAACTGTGTTACTGGAACTCTATATAACGACGCAGAGACAATTCACTTATTCAGTCTCTTTTGATATAAATTCAAATGAGATTTATAAGAATGGCGAGCATTATATTTTGTTTTAATAAAAATATATTTAAAACAACGATTTGATACGAGTATTAAACGTCATGCACCTCACACGAAATATAAGTAAAAATTTATTGTCACTTTCAAAAACACCTCTGATATCTTTAATCATCGCTGTAACTTAGCGGTTAGAATGTAACGGTTATAGGATGGGTTTATTCTAAATAAATCTCAGTTTCTTTTAGGTTAACTGTACTGATTGCGGCTTATAATATTACAACGGTTTGACATGTTAAAAGACCTTATTTTATGGATTACATAAAATAAGGATCATACATACAATGCAAATACTTTGGCTAGGTGAATAAATTGTCTACACTTTCGTGCCTAACAAATAACATACCAAGAATTATTTTATTCTTTATGCTATAAATAAGAAAATATAACGCTTTTTTAACGCGTAATTCTACTTGTATCTATACAATTATATTGGAATATTTGTACAGTTTAGTATAATGGGAATACAAGCGGTCGTGTTGGCCGAAGTTCCCTTTGATGCCGTGATTAGCTACAGCACTAACTAAACTACAAACTTCGAGGCACGCACCGAAGTTTGTCCAATGTTTGCGCCGAATTTCCATCGGGATAGTTCGGATGTTTGCGAAGTGTTTTTTGTCAAATGTTGGTAAGTAAACAACAGATCGGCCATCGTTACGTGACAAGTAAAGTTACAATGCCTGACCTCGTTTTGATCTAAAAAGTTTATATTTCGTGGAAATTCGTAATGCTGATCTGTCATGTTTATTTCGAGGTAATATGACGTTCCACTGACTAAATGAATCAGCAATTTTTTTAAACCTTCATTTTATTGTACTCTTTGTGCAGTAATAGTACAGATAATTAACATGCGGTTTAATTATTAATAAGTTTTTAAAATTAACCGTTTGTCAAGCCTCTGCTAAATGGCAAAGATTATATAATAATTTAAGCGGACCTGACAGACGTTGTCCCGTACACACGACTTAAATTCGACAACTTAGAAATAAAAAAAAAAATTGTGGACCGAATTGTTAATCTAAACCATTCTCGAATCGACCTAAAGACACACAAACAATTTCGTTAAAATCGGTCCAGACGTTTAGGAAGAGTTCAGTGACATACACATGTACAGAAGAATTGAATATATAAAGATTAAAAAATTATATTTTTCCAATGGAATTAAACATAAGTCTGTCATAATGTCACCTTTAAATAATACGTTACTTTCCTACTTCAATATTTAAATTACTTTGTAATTTAACGTCTTTACCTTACTGTTTTAAAATGGATGGGTATTAATCGTGTTTATTTATCCTTAAGGATAAAGGAAACGTTATAACTAATATATAAATACGTTATAACTAACTTATGTCCGGCATACTTCACAGTCTTCCTTCAATTTAGCGAAACAACATAAATCCATCGCAATCGAATGAAATAGGGAAGTACCGTTCATCTATCATCTATACCAATATTACAAATGGGTAAAGTTTCTTAGTTTGTAAGTAATGGGTAGGTTCTTTGAAAGTGCTGACTTAATTCATACATTTAATTTATACACATAATATATTTAATTCCAATAAAACTGAGTCTTGGTGTATAATTATTCGGTTAATGTGTCTTGATTGATTAAAATCAAGCCGTAGATATTTGAATTTAACCAGCTCTGTTGCTGCCAGCTCATCGGTGTGGCAATCAGCCGTTTAGTTTAGTGGCTAAAGCGTTAGGCCGCGAATGCCAAAGACGTGGGTTCGATTTCCACAGCGGCGACAATCTTTTCGTACTTTTTCTACAAATTTTAATGTTTAATCTTAAGTGCAGAGATTAGCACTTTCAAAAAAATTAAATTTCTAAAAAGCAATGGCGACATCTCTCATTCGAATTATCGTTGTAAAAGGATATTCGAAATTGTTTGTATGCTGGAAATGATATAATAATGGATGCTCCAAGCATTGCTTCAAAATGCTAAAAAAACAATGTAGATAAAAGATGTTAAGATTTTCGATTCCCACAGCGGCGACAATATTTTCGTACTTTTTCTACAAATTTTAATATAGATTCAAGAAAGAACAATGGTTGGGGATAAATCTGCAAGCCTTTAGATGTTGTAGAGTTGTGAGGGATGGTAATCACTTCATGCGAAATGGCTGCTCGCTTGCCAACTTTATAATTCAAAAAGAATCCTCGACGTAGCGGCGATAAGCAAACTAGTTATCACGCGGGCGTGTTCGTGTTCGTGTAACGGACGAAATTCTCTTATCTTGCGAACAGGACGAAAAAACGCCACTCGGCTAGTTTCGTGAACTTTCGACGATAACGCGTTGAGGTCACGGCTGACCGATAGCGGACCTTCCCATGGACCCAAGTGGTCCTCCCTTAGGAAAATAGCTGCAGATAAGTGCGCCAAGGAAATGATTTTTTGGGTATAAAGTTACAAGTATTGCTGGGAGCCTTACATAGTCGTCGTTCACGGTTTTGTAGAAAAATAGACGATGAGTTTTATTGTAAAATGTCAAAGGAAAAAGTGTTTCGCCTGTAAAAGGAACACACTAGGTCATACCAAGCTTTGCTTGGAATATAATAAAAATAAAATTCATAAATACTAAGAGCCGTGATAGCTCAGTGTCCGGGCGCTCGCCTTTAATTCAATATATACTCGAGCAACCTGAGTTCGATCCCCGGTGCCGGCACCAATGAAGTTTTTAACTTTAAGTGCTGAATTATCACGTGCTCCGCGGTGAAGGAAAACATTGTGAGGAAACCTGCATATTTTCGAAATAATAACAAAAAAATGTATTTCGAAAATATGTGAAGTCCGCCAATCCGCAGTGGGGCCGCGTGGTGGACTATGCCCTGATACCCTCTGTATAGAGGAGGCCTTTGCCCAGCAGTGGGACATGTATTGGCTGTTACTTTACTTTTTACTTTCATAAATACTGTGGGATTTTTCGTCTGTACTAAGATACGTCGTATAGCTCAATGTCTGGAGCATCGGGTGTGTATCCTGGTGTACGCAGGTACAAATCCGAGAAGCGGCTAAAAAACTTTTCGTCCATTTTGTTTTTATTGTTATGGTATATATGCTTGAATAATTTTATTGCAAATTATAGTTCCGTTATATAGCGCTGATAAATTAATTGAGTTTGGAGACATAACATATTTATTAACGTTATTAAGCGGTTATTATCCAGATATGTATATTAACATATTTAGTTAACTGTCTGGAAATGGAACAATCATTTTGTTACCAGCGTTGAGTAACTCGCTACAACAACTGTCAGCTCCTGTTCTTTGACCTCTATTACGTATTCCTACGCTATATGTGTAATTCGGTGCAATCGAAATTGCGACTTGAAATTGTTCCCTTACAATCGGCATTAGCTTTTCCACGCGCGGCGTTTACGACGTTCCGCATCGCGAAACGATAGAGCAGCGGTCATCACTATCGCAGCGCGATAAGAGATGTACATTCCAATAATAAAGTGGCCGCTTTCTTTGTGCTCGAGCGACGGGTCGGATAGGCTCAGATGTAAGGGAAAATGGCGTTGGGGTTACTCTCCATAGTGTGAAAGTGTATTGGGAAAGCCATTGGGATGGCCCTTTCAAATAATTTTAAAATTAATAAATAATACTGTTCAATGTCAACTAATTATTTAATTAAAATAATCTTGGCAATGCACTGCGAAAACTTACATTTGCATTTGCTTGGAAGCATGTAAACGTATTCGCATAAGAATTCTTCATAAAAAACTTAAAAGAACTGATAAATTTAGCCCTTTCTGAAGATTATGTCAATGGAAGTTGGCTTCGTGGAAATAATGAACAATATGAACTTCTGGACTGTTTTTGTCCTCTTCATGGTTTAAATTTTTCACCACTTCATGTTCCATATGAGAGAGGCGGCAATCGCTCATGTGGTTCACATAAGGTGACCTCACTTCCTTAATAAAACTACTTTCCAAACACAAAATTATAAATTCTTGCACTTTACGATGGTTTTTCCCCGAACTAGCCGACCACTTCATACAATAGCAAAAGTGATTATACATTGCGTCACTCTGACAGTTATAATGTAATCTGCGATCAGAAAATTTACTT